TCTCTTGGTCGGGAGCTTATTTAATATAAACAACCATAAGAAGGCCTTAGTTTTTTCAGAAACAAATAATGTCTTTGAGCATTTAATTAAACGCAATGTACCTCTTCATCAATAGTAGTGTTTCCTTGAATGAGATTGTAGGCCAATTTCACTATTAGACTCCCATTAGGACTTGGGCCCCAGATAATCACGTCCTCCTTCATTAAGATGAATTGCTTTATTGTATTATTTCTTGGGGAATCTTAGGGCCCATTTGGCATGTTTTTCATGTGGTCTTTCAGTTGTTTATAAGTTAGTAAGACCGATTTTTGGTCAATTTCTGTTTGGTTCGCGAAAGATCTAACCGCCAAAAGATGATGCGCCGAAAAGATGTGAAAAACTCATTCTGGACTGATTTTGGGAAGCTTCAAATGAAACTTTCCGCATCTTTTGCGTTTTAATCTCACGTGGAAAGACGCGGGCAGACACACGGAAAGACATGCATCTGCCAAACTGTCTTCGACTGCCCAGATCTTATGTCAAAAGCTCAGTGCGTCTTTTGACAGTCAGAACTACAAGAAAATCTTCTCAAAAAGACACACCAAACAGGCCCTTAATTTTCAGCTAATTTATTTTTGTCCCAGGTTTTATTTCTTATATTTATGTATTCCTTGACTTTTTCTTCTTCATCCAAGTGGTCCAAATTGCTAGTGTTTACCACCTCACTCAAGGGCCTCTTATCCATCCATAATTCCATATATCTGTTCACAATCTGTATTTTGATCCATCTCCCATTTTGTAAGTATTTCCTTTATTCAACATTAATTTTTTCATGCCCATGAACTTGATCCCAGGACGAAGACCTTAAGGTTGTGTTTGTTTACTGTATAAATCTCAGATAGAATTTACACCGAATCGTCCATTAAAAAGTAAGCATTACATCGATAAAATCAATGTAAAACCTCACTATAAGTGACGTTTTATATCGATTTACAATGTAAACCTCATCTCCACCCAAATGCCGGAAACCGAACTCTAATAACGTGCAAGAAGCTCAGCCACACAGGAGAGATACAGGACATTGTGGGGTCCGACAAAATTCTTATGCATAGAATGTCTTCTCATCACATTTCACATGGGTGGATGGAAATGACTTATTAACTAGACAACCGTACAAAATGAAGGGCCCAGCCGAAGACGGGTTCAACCACCGAAAGCCATTGACAAAGCCCACAAATCAGCAAAAGACATTGACAAATAAAGCTGGACACGGGTTCAACCACCAGCACACCAGTGAAGATCATATGAGGATATTCGTGTTTTGGCAGGTTAAGGCTATGGACGGACAAGACAACCCAAAGCAAGATATATAACTAATAAACAGGGCCATGGAATATTGATGGTAACGCCAACCTCTAGTAGGAGACCAGTACTTTTCCTTCTTTTTTTTTTTTTCTTTCTTTRTAATAACCCGCCATAACCAGCAATATCGATATCATAATCTACCTGGGTTCTGGGTATCCATCTCTTCTCTTCTGTTGCTACTGCGTTACACTTTTGGTCTGTTAATGAATGTAAACAGTTTATTTTTCACAGCTTCTGTCTTTCATGGTTGATACTACTTTAGTTTAAATGTTGAAACAATACTCAGAGAGCTATCATGCATCCATATCCAGTGATCGATGCATGAGGCAATCTAAAGGTTCAAACCCTTTCTTCTTCTGCTCTGCAGTGTAGAGGGGTTTTCAATGAACCTTACCAAAGCTGTGCTGTGAACTTAGCTGTTTCATCAGCAATATCAATCATTCCATCAGCTTTAGTATGTAAACTGCAGTAAGACCATGCAGAGACTACTGGTCTCCAGGATTCCCATCGTTTCCAGTAACTGGAGTTAGACACTGATACTAATTCATTGTAAATTTATCAGGATATATTAAACAATAAGCACCACTATTAGAGTTACTGTGAAACCTTGGAACTATATTAGCGTTGTTATCATCAATTGAATTCCATTCAGAAATTCTGTGAAACCTTGGAATGCTACAAGCTACCTAAGCTATACATCTCGAGGCCCATGCCAATAGGTAGTGAGTGGGATTCATTTAAGAAAAAGTCTACAGATACCAGTTAAAGCAACCACTACTGAAGTGGGATTCTTTTGGTCTACAAGCTGCCTTTTCACCCAATTCGATCTGCTTCTCTGAACAAGAGTAGCATAGTTCCTGTACCTTACTGAAAGGACCCCAGCTTAATGGGTCCAATTGCTGAGCTGGTGTCAATTAAGCAGCCTACCATGTCCCCAACATCTTTGCTTAAACCTACTTATGGTGCTGCTGCTTTTCTTGTGAAGATTTTCCCTACTATCTTGATTTCAATAATAGCTTTGCTTTTCCTTGGCCCATAATTGTGTGGTTAGAACTAATTAATTCATATATGCCTACGTTGATTGGTGACTTGTTCTAATTGATTTAATAGCACAACTGATGAACTGAAGTATTCCTGGTGTGTCCATCGATCCAATATGATCATTAATCATTCTATACCTTTTTGGGATTAATGTATGTTCACTCTAGATCTCTCCACTTTTCAATATATACTAAGAAGGTTGTTGGAATAGATTGCAATAAGTTCAATCAGCTACATATGCATCCTGATCCCTCCTCACAAGGCACCCATCATCTGCACCTTTTCAGTGCTGTCCTGGTAAGCTAAACTAGTTATTGGACGAAATGGTTCAAAGAAATGAACTAGTACCCAGTGATTTGGTGCACCAGATCACTAGCTAGTCTAATATATGGTTAAACTTGATTGTCATTGTTAATGGCGATTAGACCCTCCTGACATCGACACTTAAACAAATTTGTCTTTCAAATTCAATGGCTAATCGTATGATTCTAGTAACTTTTTTAAAGCATATCATCAAACAAAATTGCAAAATTATTATGTCAAATTATCAACCGATGTATATATATACTCAATTATTATATATAATTATATATACATTCTTTTTACTCTGATGTATGGAATATGTAAACGACTGAATAGCAACTTAATAAGTTTATATCTCGCCTTGCACATCTAAATGAATTACAGATTCCTTGTAATAGGATCAAAGTGGAGATTTTTGCAATTTGAAGGCCAAATCCACCCATACATCGTTAGTACAGGGGTATTGAAAATAATTTGTAAACCCTCAGTGACTCCACCTTATTGGGTGTTGGGTCAGCCTTAATCAAATTTTGGGTCGAGGTTAAGGTTAACCCATGCCAAAGTTGAACCATGAAATAATTTGTATGTTTAGGCATGGTTGACATCCCTAAGTTCAACCATTGACATTGACATCCCTAATCTTTAATTTTTGTGTCACTTTTTTTTTTTTTTTGGTATTCAATTTTTGCTTTACCAAACAATAGTGCATACAAGTAAATAATAATGATATAAGTTAACACTGTATAATTAAATTTTACTTTTATGAATTGCACCAAAATTAAGGCAAATTTTCATTTTATAATAGTATAGATATTCTTACTTGTATTTAAATTAGGAAAATGTTGATAAACCCATTTCAATTAACCCATGAAAAGTAAATTGAATTTTTGATGTAGTGTGATATAAAATTTTTTTGAAATGCACTGAATTTGGAGTACTCATATAAAATCTAGTCTATTTGCTATGGTTGTATGCTATTGAATAATTAAGAATAATGAATTTCACATGGATCCCATGTAGGCAAAAAAGCACACCAAGCCGTGTACGTTTATCTTGTCTGTTCTTTTTGTCTTTGCATTTTTCTTTCATTTTTTTATGGGAATCTGGCACTATGTAATAATTTAAAGTTGAGTTAAAAGATTCTTTTTAGGGAAAATCTATGATCCTGGAAAGACATGATATGGGGAAAATGATTTGATCAATCAAATCCCTCTGTGAATTTTGATGAAAATCCACTTGATTGGTTACTACTTTTATGAAACTGATTGATTGGATATAAACTTTTCCCGAATCATGTATTCCTGGTATCATAATTAACCTTCTTTTTCTAACAAACAATAATGTTAATATGTTTTTTTTTTCAGTCATACGATATGGGGGAAACATGATATAGTTTATACCATTGGAGAAATCTCCTCAGGATCGGGTGGGATCGAGTGTCATAAAGTGGCACATCAATATGTGACATCTTTAATGTGATTGATTGCATCATAAACCCTAACCCCTAATGATAGGGATTGAACCATCACAAATTTCCACAGTAATGAGCAAGCAACAGTACGAATTGAGCCACTCTCAGTTGCACTGCACCAATTTCTAGGGGCTATAACTAGTCTTCTACAAGGATCTGAAAGTATTATCTCACATCTAACCTAAGTAAAACCTAATAGTTTCCAATTTTCATCTTAACTTCCTTTTCAACGAATTGGGTGAAGATAATTTTTAGAATCCAACAGAAAATATTCCATTAAGTTTATTGATCTAATAAATGTTAATGGTTTAAACCCCAGATCCCAGATTTAATAGATTTTCTATGGTTGCATGGTACCTGCAGTAAAATTCATGGCAGTGCGCTAGCTATTACATGTTCATACATAAGAAACTCTAATACATTGTCTAAATAGTCTTTTAAGGCTATGTTTGGTTTGAAGGAAAAGGTAGGGAAAAAAAAAAAGGTTTGTAAATGTAAAGGTTTCTTACCTTTCCCTACTTTTTCCTTCAAACCAAACACAGGCAATAAATAGTTGGCATTTGAGGGAATTAAAACGCCAGTTCAAGCTTGCCCATGACTGCTAAACCAAGTCTGCGGTTACACATATGCCTGTGGATGGTGTACCTACTCTTAACTTGATAAGCACTCAAATCTACGGTCATACAACTACTCGTCTAGAAATCCCAACATAATTTTAAAAGAAGTAGAGAATAAGAAGAAGAAAGAAAGAAAAATCATAGAGATAATCAAGTACAAAGATGTCTTTTTCTGTTCTGGAGGATTCTCTCCCTTTAAACATTATAAATATAGACATTGCTAGAGCTAATTTAATGCAACAAAGAAAATTTTCGAAGGACAATAACCATGAGTAAAGGTGGGAGCTATGGCGGAGGCCAGAGTTCGCTGGGCTACCTGTTTGGGTCTGAGCAGCAGCCGGCGACAGCCCCAGTCGCCCCAGTCGTTACCAGGCCACCATGGGGAGATGATAACAGCACAGAGAATGCACCCTATCTTCTATCTCCAGTGCAGAAACGCGATGCCCCCGACCAGAGAGATCGGGGCTCGAACACGGGAACCTTCATAACTGTGAGTATTCGACAGGTTATATTTCTTTGTTTAATTGCTATAGATGAGTTGTATCGTTTCTCAGCATTTCTCAACTCTATACTTTTCAGGACCGTCCGTCCACCAAGGTTAAGTCAGTTCCTGGGGGAAACTCATCTCTCGGCTACTTGTTTGGAGATAAGTGAACGTTGCTCTCTCTCTCTCTCTCTCGCAACTCTTTCTGACAGAGATTCAAGTTGTGGGTTCCTAACAGAGTCTAAAATAAGGGTCTCAGTTCCCATTAATATGTGAATTTGCTAAACTACTTAATTATTGCTTGAACTTGTATGGTGCTCTCTCTCTCTCTCTCTCTCTCTCTTATTTAAGGTCGATGATTGAGGATCTATATTGGTGTTTAATATATAGAACATACAGATGGAAAAAGATTGAAGACATAATAGAGTCTGTACTTGGTTTTCTTGTATATATAAAAGACCGCCGGTTGCAGCGTCCTCGTTTGAATTATGAGATGTCTTTTGATTTAATTTCTTAATAAACTCGTGATGATATTTACTTTGAACAACATGTATCAGGGGATGTAATTAATTAATCAACATCTCCAAATTATGCATCGTTATGTTGATGCTTCTTTATTTCAGATTGCTTGTTATATATGGAAGTGGAACCAATTTAACTCATCATGAGCCTATATCTGTAACCCTAAACTGTTGTCATGTATAGACAAGGGATGCAATTTGAATGAGGAAACCCCAATATATATATATATATATATATATATATATATATATATATAAGGAACTGTCAAAGATTAACATCGCTAAAAGTGCAACATGCAGATCAAAAATGGATTATAGAATGCTCCTGCATTAAAAGATTCAACATGAGAACTCCATGGAGATGGTTTGGCTCCCCATCTGAAGACTGGTAATAGCACATATATGTTTATTTATGATATCTGGGCTGCCAAATATCTTTCTCTAATGCCTGCTTTGATTCATCCAGCTGAACCAACCCCATCTCCCTCAATAGAATCAGGCGGCAATCAAGTTCATACCCATGAAACTGATCATCATCGTCCATCTGATAAACAGCAACTCGTATTCATGAGTTTTATTTTCTCTAGTTGCAGCTAGCTCAGAGAATCTGTAAATTAATTGTTCGATCAGTATTACGATTTTCAATACAAATGAACAAACTAAAATGAGAAGTCAGGCCGATACCAAGGCACAGACCGACCGGTCTGTGGTGTTTAATTAGTTTCACTATCTGGTTGCTTCAGTACTACATTAATTCGTGAACTTGTCTATTAACTCACAGGCCAGGGCACATCGAATGCTCTCACTCGTGCATATATAATTCATCTACATTCATTGCATTCATTCAGTTGCTCCGGGCTTGTTGGATGAACCCGAGCGGTTCTTTTCACTGCTCTAGCTAGCCGCTTATAGGATCAGGAAGTAGTGATCAACTCTCTGAACAAAGTATGAAAGAGTAGATCGAAGAAATGAATGAAAAAATAGCTGCCTTTGCTGAGAATAATAAATGGACTCGTCTTCTTTGTCAAATAGACCTGGATGTTCTGAGTTTAGGTTTTGTATTATCTTTTAAATCTAATTGAGATAAATTGATATATAGGCCTCCCAAAATAAAGATATGTTATGCCAAATTTGTAGACAAGGAAAAGGGAAACTACCTTGGGTGATTTCAGTAGTCCAAAGAGAGAGAGGAATAATTGAGAAACGTAATGGAGCACCCTATCACTAGTAGGGTTTCATTTTTCTTGCTGTAGGATAAGTTCTTATTTGACTACACTAAACCTTCTTGTCTCCTTAATTATGTTTCAGCATCTAGAACCCAATGGAGCATCCTATCATGATCATAAACCCTTTTATGCATGGGCACTTCTTTAAAAACTGCAAAGGCTCCAATACAATGTCACATATTCATGACGACATATTTTCGATTGGACACAGGATTCCTCCATGTGTAACAGAATGTGTAATTTTTTTTCCTGCATTATATATCTAATTCACCCGATTTCTATAAATAAGCATTTTATATATCGGTATTATATTGCATTTAAATATGCTTCAGAATTTTTGCTTCTTTTAGTTGCTTTTTAGTTTTTCTCTTTGTCTGGTTTTATGGGTGTATCTCTGAACTGTTTGTTGCTAGTTTGTTGGAATGAAATGCTTTTATACTGCCAAAAAAAGGAGTTTGTGTTTTAAAAGCCCAAAAGTCCAAAGGGAAAATCTATGATACCAGAAAGACACACATGATGCTGGAAGAGTTTTGACCAATCAATGTACTGTCATGAATTTTGATGAATACCACTTGATTGGTAACCTATTTTATATGATACCGGTTTATTTGCTGTAATTTTTTCTCGAAATTAGAGAATCACTAAATTCAAAAATAAGAATATTTCATTCAAAATTCAGCAAGTTCATTCATAATTTTAATAGTAGTATAGATATGGATTAGAAATGTTTAATTTTCTTTCTTTTTGTTAAGCATTAAGAATATCCAGTTGGATATTTTCTTAAAGCAACTTATTGGTAGTTCAAATCAAATGTAACAACTGGTTATTCAAATTTTCAAATTCTAAATGCCAACTGGTTCAGTTGAAAAGGTCTTTGGCTGGCTGTAAGCAAAGACTTCGGGTAGAATTGACCCCATGAAATTCCCTGGAAGATGAAAATTTTTCTTCCTTCTTTTCTACTTATTAGCAAGCAAGTAGATGGTATCAACAACAGAGGTGATCAATGTTTTTGAGAGGTTTCAGCAGTAAATTACAGAAGCTGTAGAACGCTTCCATGTCAAACTTGATGACTACCTAGCTGATGCATAAATGCATGGGCTAAGTCCCACAATTCAGCTAATAAAAAGCTAGCACAGGCCGTAATTAATAAACGGGAGGCATGCAAGCGCAATCAGTGGTTCAGCTTTCCTTTTTCTAATCATCGTTCAGAATCAGCTGCAGGTTCAATATAATGGGACGGATCACTAATTATATATCTCGGTCTACGCCATAACGTAGTCTCACTCTATTTTCATTATTATTATTATTATTATTATTGGTTTGTTTCATGACATGACAATTGACAAATCACAGCTGAAGTGACTGAATGGAATGTTTTAATAACTCATTGATTAGGCCGTGGGCTGCTTATATACCAGCCATAAACTTACTTACATGTTTTAATTGGTATGCCTGGTTCTCATAATTATCATTTTACTATTTTAAAATACATTTGGTTCATAATTGGAATCAGAATGGTCTATTCACATAAAAATTATGAAAATAAGAATTAAAATCTATCAACAGGAATGGAATTTCATTTCCAAGGAGGGAGAGGAAATGGCCATTTCCTCAAATGGGGGAATATCATTCCACCAGGATGTAATTCCAATTCCACCCAATCAATCAGTTGGAATCAAAATAGCTTGTTTCAATTCTAATTCCCGGGTTCCTGCAAACCAAATGGGGCCTTGTAGACTAACATATAGCAATGGAGACATTCAAATGCATGTATTGAGAATGGCACCTCTGATGTGTTAGCTCATATTTAAAGTAAATCTTTTTAGGGCAAGGTTAGTTTGCAGGAATAGGGATCTGAAATCGAAATTAGAATGGATGGTCTATTTCAACTTCAACAGTTTGGTTGGGTGGAATGGCCATTCCCTCCCCCTCGTAAATGATAATCCATTCGAATTGATTTCAATTCAGATGATAATCCATTCCAATTTCAATAACCAAACAAGTGGAGGGAATTGGTCATTCTAATTCTGGTTCTAATTCTGATGGTGAACCAAATGGATCTCTTTAGTGATACAGCTAAAATTTTGTGAAGAATCTGAAGAGACATTCCAAATCTCCCTGCCTTCCCCCCTACTCACTGGCCCCCAATTACTAAGTAGCTGGTTTGCTAGTCACAATCCCATCAAAGGCCTATGAGTCTTCCACGTGGCAAATCTATTTGAAGCTCAAAAGATGAAGTATACAAATACCTCTGTTGATGTGAAAAAATTTAGCTAATAAACTTGTCATATGTGCAAAATAAACAATAATCTATATTATATTATAAAGAGATTAGGTCCCACGTCACCAGCCCTCTCCTTCTCCCATTCCTCTTTATCTTTTTTTTTTTTCCTTAAACCTCTTTCCTTTCTCCCTTACCACTTCCTATCCCTTTCACGTAGCCACGTGGCAACCCTCTCTTCTACGCTAGAGTGCCACTCCAAGTTTCTCTCTCATGTTCTCAATCACTTAGCCAATCCCCTCCTAAAATTTTCCCTAAACTATCTCTTCTACCTAAAATACCTCTTAATCTATATTGCCATGTGGCAGCCCTCTCTTCTTCACTAGAGTTCCTCTCTCTCTCTCTCTCTCTCTCTCTCATGTTACCAATCCGCTCAACCCCTACTCAAATTTCTCCTAAACAATATTTCTCATCTAAAATTCCTCTTAATCTATATTATAAACCATTTAAAAACCAAAAACGTGGGTAAATTAGTTTAGGTAGTTAAATTAATTAATTAAATTAATTTAGGTAGTTAAATTAATTTGTGAAATATTTTCTATATTTTCACTAATTAATAATATTATTGAATATTATTAAGTAAATATCAACACCTAAACTATAATTTTTCATAATTTTGGTAAATTAAAAAATTTAATTACTTGCTGAAAATTACTGATTTTGGTAATTTAATTTCAGAATTTTTGAAAATTAATTATTGAAATCAATAATTACTAAAAAATAATTATTAACTAAAATATTAATAAATTTATCAGTAATTTTTAAAAACAAGTAGTTATTGATATTTTCAGAAATTTTGGTCAAGTTATTGATATTTAATGATATTATCAAACAATAATTAAGAATTTTGAGTAATGTTTTAGTGGAAAATTAATTTCAATAAATATAAATTTATTTTTTATATTTTCAGTCATTTTGATATTTACTTTAATTTTTGAGCAATAATTAGTGATTTTGTTAATTTAGTGAAACTTAAATTATAAAACTTCCAACTTTTCAAATAAATAATTGGAAATTTTAATAATTTTCATAAGTATTGGATACTACATTTATAATTACCATAATTAAGGGAACTAGGGTGTGGGGGTGTTATAAGTTTAGGGGATGACCCCCGGGGAAGGAATGGCAATGGGAGGGTTTGGAGCGGGGATCATACTCCCCATCCCGACCTTGAGTTTTAAATTAATCCCTATAAAAAAATTTTAGCCTACATCCCTAGTCCTTGACAAAGAGGGCTTCCCCATCGGGGACTTGAATCCCTGGATTTTTTTAATTAAAACTTTGTATAAATAATATTTTAAAATAAAGGAAAAATTAAAATGTAAATAATATTTTAAATATATTTTGATATATACATATATATATATATAAGGCAATCTCCATCCCATCCCCGCCTGATTGGGAAGGCCAGGTACTTGGGCGGGGATGGAGAAAATTGCCATCCCTACTGACGGGGTGTTTTGCTCACTTGGCGAGTCAGGGAGTTGTGAGAATTGAATTTGCTTGTATGATATCTCAAGAAGCTTTCTAAGATGGATATCCCAGCGGCCAACAACTGCTTGAACGTTTGGAAAGAGGAAAACTTAGAAGTTTGTTTAGTGGGAAATAGAGATATACGTTTTGTGTAATAGTAA